TCCCCATCAGGAGAACCCCTGGCTCCCATGTAAATCCCTGCTCCTTAGGCTTGTAAGAGAAAATCTGCCTGTGCAGGGCTCTGCTTTGTTCACTTTAGTGTTGGATATGACCATGAACACTAGCATGCACTGGTTCATGGGTTGTTCCCCCTTCACTTGCAAGAGTTTTTGTTCCATGATAAACTGAAGCTCAGCCTTTTTTCCTGCTTTCTGAAGTCCCTCTGTAGGGCAGCATGACTGCTGGTGCATCAGTTCTGTGGCACTGGCGAACTTGCTCAGGGCATGCTCTGCCTCATCATCTGCATCATTACTGAAGGTTGTTAACCTTCAGGAGTGCACCCGCTACTGAGCCCTGGGGTATGTCTCACCCTAAAAAGGTTTAGGGGTGTGCTTAGCTGTCTCCTGCAATGGGTCCATTGCGGCTGCCTGGGACTGGCCATGTCTGCCCACAGTGGCTCCTGCAGCAGTCCCACCACAGCCAATGCTGGGACAGGGACACGCAGTACACCAGTACAGTGGGCAGGGTTGTGTGGAGCAGCACAGGTGCGTGGGCATGGACAAGCAACAATTCTAGTCTGCGGGGCTGTGGCCAGTGGAGGAGCTGTGGCAGGGACGTCTGCCCAGAGGCTTCCCAAGGCGTCCTTCTGGCCAGGACTTCACACTGGGGACTCCCTCCTGCCTCAGCTGGCACAGAAGGACTCTTCTTACCTCCCTTAGGTATCATAGAAACATAGAATCATAGATTGGTTAGAATTGCAAGGGACCTTAAAGATCATCTTGTTCCAACCCCCCTGACACAGGCACCGACACCTTCCACTTGATCACGTTGCTCAAAGCCCCATCCAGGGACACACACAGCTTCTCTGGGCAACATGTGCCAGTGCTTCACCACCTTTCCAATAAAGAATTTCTTCCTAATATCTAATCTAAATCTCCCTTCTTTCGGTTTAAAACCACCTTCTCTTGTCCTGTCACTAGAGACCCTTGTAAATGTCCCTCTCAAGCTTTCCTGTAGGCCCTTCCTGAATTGGAAGGCTACCGCAGAGCTTTCTCTCTCCAGCCTTAACACGCCTGACTCTCTCAGCCTGTCTCCATAGCAGAAGTGCCCCAGCCCTGTGATCATCTTCTTGGACTCCTCTAGACTCACTTGAGCACGTCCATGTACCTCTTGTGCTTGGGGGCCCCAGAGCTGGATGTGCCACTGCCAAGGTGGGATCTCACAAGAGCAGAGGCAGATCTGCAAGAGCAGAGGCAGAGGGGCACGATCACCTCCCTCAACCTGCTGGTCATGCTCCTTTTGATGGGGCCCAGCATATGGTTGGTGTTTTGGTTGCGAATGGACACTATGGGGTCATTTTGAGCTTCTGTCAACAGACACCCCCAAGTCTTTCTTCTCAGGGCTGCTCTCAATCGAGTCTCTGCCCAGCCTATAGTGGTGCCTGGGATCGCCCCGGCCCTGGAGCAGGAACTTGCACTTGGCTTTGTTGAACTTCATGAGGTCTGCACTGTCCCACCTCTCCAACCTGTCTAGGTCCCTCTGGATGACATCCCTTCCCTCCAGTGTGTCGACCCCACCACACAGCTTGGTGTCATCGGCAGACTTGCTAAGGGCGCATCAATACCGCTCTCCATGTCATCGTCAAAGATGTTGAACAGAACTGGTCCCAACACTGATCCCTGAGGGACACCACCTGTTACCCATCTCCACCTGGACATTGAGCCATTCACCACAACTGTCTTTGTGTGGCCATCCACCCAGTTAATTATCCACTGAGCGGTCCATCCATGAAATCCATGCCTCTCTCTAAACCGGGAGACGCATGGATTCACAGGAATTGGCTGGCTCATGCCAGAGGAGTCACGGGGGTGCGTGGGCCAGCCCATATGGAGTCACTGCGGTGTCCTGGGTGCTCATGCCTCTCACTGAGGGTGGAAGCACGCAGCAGCCCCTTGGCACATGCCTGGAGCCCCTTTGGTGACCGGAGCTCCCCATGACAATGTGGAGACAGAGGGACAGAGCAAGCCAAAGCCCCATGCAGCCCCAGCCCCAGCATGGTGTAACCCAGAGGCAGCACCCCTTTGCTTCCCCATGGGAACCTTCAGCTGACAGGGTTAAACCAAAGACCGAGGCTCTATTTCAAAGCATGACCCCGCATGGAATGGAGCTGAGTCAGTTTGGCTTGGCTGTCCCAGCTCCTGCCTACCCGCACAGCCTACTCAATGGGGGACAGCCAGAGAGAAACCAAACAAGCCTTGAGCTCAGCAGGCACAGGCCAGCACCAGAGGAACGCTGGTGTATTTTTGGCACTGGCTACTCACAAATGGAACCCAGAGCACTAAGTGTGCAGCGGGGTGTGTCCCTGCCCCTTGCTCACCTGTGATGTCACAATCATGGCTGCACATGATTGAACCTGTGACATCAAGGTGGCTCCTACAGCAATTGGGCCACCACCTCCTGCCTGGTGGGAGTTTGCTGTGTCCTGGTGGCTGTGTGCCTGTGTCTGGCGTTCTCCTCCTGGCAGCTGGTTTGGGGCTCTTGCCCAAGTGCCCTCCCCCAGCCAGGCAACACTCCTGCTTCGGAAGGAGGACAGACAGGCTTGCAGGGGAGCTTCCTTTGTCCCCAAGATGAGAAAGGCTCCTCCAAGAGCGCAGCGCGCTGCCCGCGTGAGGACAGCCAGCAGCAGCAGGGACAGACGTGCAGCTGGGCGCGTTCAGGTCCACAGGAGCAGGTACAAGGTTCCTCCTGGGACCATCAGCTGGAGGGTCAGGACCCCAGAGCCTACAGCAGGGGCTGGGGGGACACGACGGAGGAGCTGGCAAACGCTGTGGGCAGCACAGCAGTCCCAGGGCTTGGGAAAACCACTGTGAGTGGGGAAGAGGCCCAGCTGAAAGCCCCTCTGGCCCCTGGGGCCAAACCCCACTCTCCTGCTGGAGGGCTCTGGCTGTGAAGCTGCAGAGACCCTGGGAGGAAGAGGGGGCTTTGGAGGAGGGCAGCTGCTCCCCTCTGCCCATGGGCCTGTCTTCTGGCCAGGGCCTTGGCTCATGAGGCCAGAAGGCAGTGCCAAACAGTGTCCTGCCTTTTCTGTCCCATAGGTGCCGCCCCTCTCAGGAGGACCAGGGGACCAGCTCCGAAGAGCCAGCACGCTGCGGCCGCAGTGCTGCAGGCACAGAGCGTAAGTTCAGTGCTGCCTTTCACCCCATGCTTGCACCAGGCCTGCCTGGCTCATCTGGGACCAACAGCCCCCAACAGCCAGTACCATCCTGCTCCAGGAGCGGCCTGGGGCCATTTTGCCTATGTGACCATGACGGAGCTGGCCACTGTGTCTGTAATAACCATGGGGCTACTGTAACATCCCTCCTGGCCTTGACACGAGGCAGGTTTGCAGGGCCCGAAGCCTCATCCACAGTCCTTCCCCAGCCTTGCTGTCAGCGCCCTGCCTGCAAGGGGATCCTACCGGGCCTCTGGCGAGAAACAAGCTATCCCCTCCAGGGCATAAGCCTGCCCTGTCCCAGTCCCACAGGAAGGAAGTGTGCAGGCCCAGCATCCATGTCCTTGCAGGGGTCGGCCATACCCCAGACGCGGCTCCTCAAAAAGGCTCCTCAGGCTTTTCTCCCATTTCTTTGCCCAGGGATGGTATTCAGCCTTGCTTCCAGAATGGCAAGGGCCGTGATCTTCCTTCAGAGACAGCTCAGAACAGGCATCTCCATCCTGTGAGTACAACAAGTGTCTATTAGTGACGTGGAGCTTGGGGGTGCCAGAGGGTCAGGGTGGTCAGAAGGGAAGCTGGTGGTGCTCCCCAGCAGGAGAACCCCTGGCTCCCCTGCAAATTGTTGGTCAGCTGGTAAGAGAAATTCCTCTGGGCAGGGCTCTGCCTTGAGCACTGCTAACCCCAGGACTCTCTGTTTCAGGAACGAGGGGTTCTTCATGATCTTCTGCTTGATGAGCCTCTCTGCTCTCGGTTAGTATTTACCTGCTGCCAGCAGAGGCTCAGAGGAGTGAGGTGTGAGCTTCCGTGTGAGGGAGAGGTACTGAGGGCCAGTTTGGCCCATACAACATCTCACCTTTGTGGATCTGGGAGGTCACAAGATGCTCGCTGCATGCGGATGAAATGGGGCATAGCAGTGGGATGCAAAGCCTGGAACCAGGGCTGTGCAGCGCCCCGAGGCCCAGGGCAAGAGGCCCTGCTTGGAGCTACCTCCTCTCCTGCACCCCTTTGTGGTGTCCTCGGCCAGCCTCTTGCCACCCTGGTGTGGGAGGAGACCGTGTCACTATGGGGATCTTTAGAAACGGCAGTAAAATGACTCTCATGTTGGTGTTACAGCTGGTGCCTGGTGCGGGATCTCGCTGCTCATGTGGCGGCTGCATGGAAAGAATGCGCCACAGGTCAGTGGGACAGGAAAGTCCTGCCAGGGAGCTCTGCAGGCGATGGGTGGGTGGGTGGGTGAACCACCCGGTCCTCCGTTGCCAGGCAGTGACGCAAAGCAGCAGCAGCAGCTTCTGCTGTGCCTTCCCAGAGCTGCCAGCTCGGGGAAGCGCCGTTTGCCGTGGGACTCTAACGAGAGCCTTTCCCTTCCAGGGGCAGCCTGCAGCTGACCTGAGTTCACTGTGGTAAGAGCCCTCTCCTCTCCCCAGCCCTGCAGCGTGTTTGGTGGGGATAGCACGGGCAGATGAGCCTGTGCTATTTGCTCTCACTTGCACAGGGCCCAGAGCTCGTGTCTTCTGCTCCTGTCCGGGCCTTGTGCTAGACCTGGAGGGGGAAGGAAGCGCTTGTAAACCAGGGAAAGAAACGGGCTCAAACATCACTGTCTGTGCTATTCCTGGCCTTGGAGGCTCCGCGCATTGCTGGGCAGTGATCTGACAAGGTCCCATTTCCTGATGACTGCAGGAACGCACCTGATGTGTGGAAAGGACAAGCGGGAGAGATGCAGAAGCTGAGGGATGAGGTGACACATCTGGCTGCAGAAATCCGCTCTATAAAGAAGGTGAACCTGCATTCTGGAAAGAGGGCTGGGCAGGAAAAGGCCACCAGCTGGCCCAGGAAGGGCCTGGTGCAGGGGGCCCCGCTCGTCCCAGCCTACACACCCCTCCCTTGTCAGGGGCTGCGGGTTGAGCTTCTGCACTGTAGAGCCCCTTCTCCTGGCCTGCTCTGACATGGTTGTTTCCCTGTTCCTTGGTGTCTTCCCCAGGAAGTTCAGCAAATGAGAGAGGCAATATCTGAGCCCGTGGAGGTGCCTGACTGGGCTCTCAAAAGCACAGGTATGGGCAGCCCTTGGGTCCAGGCAGTTCTTGTGCTGGGCTCGTGCTTGGTGTTCCTGAAAGCAGGCAGCACTGCAGACACTGCTCTCCGATACAGAAGTGGGACAAAACCACGGGGCCCACGAGCATGACTGTAGCAATGTGGCTCCCTCAGGCTCACCCCAGCCCTGCTGCCAGAGCCCTCACTGCTGCCTCGGCCATGTCCCTGACAGCATTTCTGCCCTCTCCCACTCTGCGGAGCATTCCTGGAGAATGAAGGCATATGGCTGCATCACCCTCTGGTGTCCACGCAGCAGGGCCTTGCTTGGGTCTGCTGCCCTTGCCGTGGGGGCTCACTGTCCCCCAGCACCCACAGATCTTCTCTTTGTGCGGCTGGGAGAGAGATGCCAACACCAGGCGCAGGGATCCCCTGCGTTTCCCGGGGCACCTCTGAGCATCCAGTGCTGCATGACTTAGCAGTCACCTGCAGCCATCAGGTCCTCTGCACCTGGGGCCAGTTGCAGTCAGCTGCTCTCTTCTGCCCTCAGGGTGTACCATCAACCTGCAGAGATCATCCAGCACCTCTGCATGTCTCAGGAGGGTGTTTTGGTCCCTGTTTAGACAACCCTTTGAGGATACCTTTGTGCAGGTACAGTAGCAGAAACTGTCAGTGTTGTTCTCTGCCCCTCTGGACTCAAGCTGGGGGACAAGCCCTGGGTCATCTCCTGTCAGGCCCAGGGATCTTGCTCGGGCGCAGGGCAAGGATCTGGTTGCTGACAGCTGAGATCCCACGTGGGGTTTGGCTCCGTACAAAAAGCGGGTGCTTCCTCCTGCTTCCCAACACACCATGCATCTCCACCAGAAGCACAGCCTCGGGCACAGTGCTGCCTGTGCTTCTGCAAGCCGGGGAGCGAAGCCCTCACGTTCACTTCTCTTGCCCTCTGCTTTTAGCCTGATGCTTCCCCAGGTTACTGCTGGAAAATGCAACAGTCTCAGAGCGAAGTGCTAATCCGACTGCCCACAGAAGTACAACCAACGGCCATCACCTTACAGTACTGCTCAAAGACAGCCACTTCACTGGTGACTGTCAGTAGTGCACCCAAGGATTTCACTGTCTCTGTAAGTCTGCGCTGGGCTCGCGGCTGGGATCTGATCATGGGTAAAGCTGTAACCAGCACTTGCTGTTCCCTGCGCGTCTGCAGAGATGTGTGTGCTCCCAAGCCCTGCCCTTCCTAGAGGGGACATTTCACAGGCTTGCTCAGCACGTTTTGTCCCAGCACCCTCAGGGCCCTGAGGAGGAGACACAGCCCCATGGGTCTCCCTCTGTGCCAGACTGCACCAGAGGCACAGGACTGTGGTGCAGATAACGGGCCCAGATCTGGCATGAGCGTTTGCTCATGGTCAGCTTGAGCCTGACCTGCTCTTCTGTGCGTTTATCTCCAAGGGACTGGAAGAGGAAGGCCAGGGCGAAACTCTGCTGGGGTCTTTCCTCTACAGCGTGCAGAAAGAGCCAACTCAGACCTTCCCTCTGCAGGTACAGTGGGTACGCGTGGGCAGGAGGCCAGGGCAGAAGCACCAGTTTGCTAGCAAATCGCTTGCAGGGGGAGAGTGGACAGTCCCTGGCAGGACAGGGGCCTGAACCCTGTGGTGCCCAGAGCTGCCTGTCAGCACCTTCAGGGCAGGCGGTGGTAAGGAAGATGCTCAGCATTGTGCTCGGCAGCAGGGCTTTTTCCCCTGGTCCTGCTTCCTGGCACAGGTGACCCTGAGGTCCCCGCAGCTGCCCACCGCATTCTCTCTTGAGGCTGGATGTTTGCTCTGCAAGGGCACAGGAATCCTTTGCCTCCTGGGTGGGAGAAGGGAAGGAGGGAGAAGCTGCTCCCTCTGCCAGAGCAGGAGCTGGTCCCAGAGCAGGCGTCTGGCTGGCAGGGGAAGACACGTGGCGCCTGCTCTCACTCTTTGCATCCCAGGAATGACGCTGCTTTTTGCTGCGGTTTCTTTGCAGAATGGCATCCCCAGAGCCTTTCGACTTCTGAAACTCAGCATACAGAACAACTGGGGTAAACCAACATACACCTGCATTTATCGAGTGCAGGTGCATGGGAAGATGGTGCAGACGTGATTGGAAAGACTGATGTGGAGACCTTCCCTCAATAAGAATTGAAGAGGAAAATGGAAGTGCAGGTGCATGGGAAGATGCTGGAGACATGCTCGGAAAGACTGATGTGGAGATCTTCCCTCAATAAGAATTAAAGGGGAAAATGGAAGTACAGGTGCATGGGAAGATGGTGGAGACAAATGTGATCGGAAAGACTGACGTGGAGACCTTCCCTCAGTAAGAACTAAAGAGAAAAATGGAGGAACACACCAGAGGGATGTGACTGTTTGTCTGGTGCACAGCAATGTCACTTCAGTGTCCCTGTCAAAGTGTAATGTGTGGGGTTTGTTCATCAAAAGGTTTATAGGGAAATACTGCTTACTACACTCTAAGAAACTCTCTGTAACTGGAAACATATTCCTTTTCCATAACTATTGTACTTCGTGAGTTCTAAAGGGAAGTCAGTTGTATTATTACACAAGATTATGAGAGGGAAAAGAAACGGGTGGGAAAAAAGACGCTGAGGCGCGCCCCCTTTAAGGGCGGCCGCGGACGTCCCCCGATGTTGCCGCTTTAAGGGGAGGGTTAGCTAGTTTGAAGTTGTATCTTGTTATATGCACCATATAAGGGATGGAAGTTGTGATGAGGCTGGTAATGGGCGTTTCTTGAAATCCCTGGAAACTTCTCGCAGCTTCTCAACGATGAAACCTGAGCACAAAAGGGAAGCGATGGAAAAGACCCACGTCAGCATCCGAGCGAAAAGAAGCAGCAGGATTGGCTGAAGCCTTGAACCGAGAGGGACAGCCTCCCAGTGACCCGGCGTGCGCGTCTGGGGCGGAGCGGGGTCTCTCCGGCTCACCCAGTGCTGTTTTTTTATCTGCTATCGCTTGCTCAATTTAATAAAGTTATAACTTTACGTTCTAAAACGAGATTGCCTCTCTCCTTGGTAACAAAAGCAGCCAACTTCTTTCTGCCCGTTGCAGGCTGAGGCCTTCCTCAGCCTTTCCTTTTTCTCTCCACCACAGCAATGCCTCCTAGCCAAAGGAAACATCCCCATGTTGGAAGCACAGGGAGACATGCTTTCAGAGCCTCTTCTCGCCTGTGGTGTTTGACAAAATCCTTTGGCACAAGGACTGCCTCCCACTTTGCCCTAGGAAGGAGTCTTCAGAGCCTGGCATTGTCTGGGGCCCATGATCCCCAAAGCACAGGCCCATTCCATTCAGGGGACACCTTGGCTCGGGGGACTGGCTATAGTGGGGGCCCACAATGGGAGCAGCGATGTCTGGGACCAAAGAGGGGTTTCTGAGGTATCTGAGACCTGAGCAGCCTGACTGCTGGGGAGGGGCAGAATGGTGGCTCAGCTCCCCTGTCTCTCCCAGACACAGCCCTCCATCCCACCAGAGAGCTGGCACTCCCCACACCAGGGTCTAGGCCTTTTTGCTGCTATCAGGTGCTCACTTTGTGGGAGGGTGTCGTGGTTTAAACCACGACAGAGGGGCTGCCCGTCTGTGCTAAGCACTGGCCAAGGTCCCTCTTGGCAGTCTGTTGCCACCACAAAAACTCTTGCTTGCGCTTCCCAGACCATCCTGGTGTCTAGGCTCTCGGAACACACAGTTCTCGTTGTGCTGGGCTCCTGCTTGCCGTTCCTGAAAGCAGGCAGCGCTGCAGACACTGCAGTCCGCGGCAGAGAGAGGTTGGACAAAACCACGGGGCCCATGAGCATACCTGTAGCACTGGCGTACGGAGAAAGAAGGACTTTACAACCAATCAGCCGAACGCTGGGCGGCACGGGGGTATCCCACCAAATAGCGTCCTGCCTTTTCCCTCCCATGGGTGCGCCCTCTCTCAGGAGGACCAGGGGACCAGCTGCGAAGAGCCAGCACGCTGCGGCTGCAGTGCTGCAGGCACAGAGCGTAAGTTCAGCGCTGCCTTTCACCCCATGCTTGCATCAGGCCTGCCTGGCTCACCTCGTGCCCACGGCTCTGCAGAATCAAGAGTCATCCTGCCCCAAGGGAGGCCTGAAGCCACCTGCCCTGTTGATCATTTGGAGCTGCCTACCATGCCCACGTCTTTGTTGCATACTGTCGTAACTAGAGGGTACCGCATCACTCATGCCGCCCTCCTTCCCCAGGCATGCCATCCGTTCCCTGCCTGCAAGGGGATCCTGCCCAGACCTCTGCTCCTCACTCCCAGGGTGAAACAAGCCCCGCTCCGTAAGACATAGTATCTGCCCTGCCCCACTGGTCCTTCCAGGGAGGGAGAACCGGTTCCCATGTCCCTGCAGGGATCTGGAATTCACTGGTATCCCGAAGGATGGTCCTCAGCCTTTTCTCCCGTTTCTTTGCCCAGGGTTGGTATTCAGTCTGGCAGTGACTGTGGCCTCCATTCCGAGATGTCTGAGCCCAGGCATCCCCACCCTGTGAGTGTAACACATGAGTGGTGTGGACATGGAGCCTGGGGCTGCCAGAGGGTCAGGGCCATCAGATGGAGGCTGCTGGTGCTCCCCATCAGGAGAACCCCTGGCTCCCATGTAAATCCCTGCTCCTTAGGCTTGTAAGAGAAAATCTGCCTGTGCAGGGCTCTGCTTTGTTCACTTTAGTGTTGGATATGACCATGAACACCAGCATGCACTGGTTCATGGGTTGTTCCCCCTTCACTTGCAAGAGTTTTTGTTCCATGATAAACTGAAGCTCAGCCTTTTTTCCTGCTTTCTGAAGTCCCTCTGTAGGGCAGCATGACTGCTGGTGCATCAGTTCTGTGGCATTGGCGAACTTGCTCAGGGCATGCTCTGCCTCATCATCTGCATCATTACTGAAGGTTGTTAACCTTCAGGAGTGCACCCGCTACTGAGCCCTGGGGTATGTCTCACCCTAAAAAGGTTTAGGGGTGTGCTTAGCTGTCTCCTGCAATGGGTCCATTGCGGCTGCCTGGGACTGGCCATGTCTGCCCACAGTGGCTCCTGCAGCAGTCCCACCACAGCCAACGCTGGGACAGGGACACGCAGTACACCAGTACAGTGGGCAGGGGTGTGTGGAGCAGCACAGGTGCGTGGGCATGGACAAGCAACAATTCTAGTCTGCGGGGCTGTGGCCAGTGGAGGAGCTGTGGCAGGACTGTCTGCCCAGAAGAAGCCCATGTCTCTGGCTAGGACTTCACATTTACCTGCCTCAGCTGGCACAGAAGGACTCTCTTACCTCCCTTAGGTATCATAGAAACATAGATAATTCTAGATTGGTTAGAATTGCAAGGGACCTTAAAGATCATCTTGTTCCAACCCCCCTGACACAGGCACCGACACCTTCCACTTGATCATGTTGCTCAAAGCCCCATCCAGGGACAGACACAGCTTCTCTGGGCAACATGTGCCAGTGCTTCACCACCATTACAATAAAGAATTTCTTCCTAATATCTAATCTAAATCTCCCTTCTTTCGGTTTAAAACCACCTTCTCTTGTCCTGTCACTAGAGACCCTTGTAAATGTCCCTCTCAAGCTTTCCTGTAGGCCCTTCCTGAATTGGAAGGCTACCGCAGAGCTTTCTCTCTCCAGCCTTAACACGCCTGACTCTCTCAGCCTGTCTCCATAGCAGAAGTGCCCCAGCCCTGTGATCATCTTCTTGGACTCCTCTAGACTCACTTGAGCACGTCCATGTACCTCTTGTGCTTGGGGGCCCCAGAGCTGGATGTGGCACTGCAAGGTGGGATCTCACAAGAGCAGAGCAGAGGGGCAGGATCACCTCCCTCAACCTGCTGGTCATGCTCCTTTTGATGGGGCCCAGCATATGGTTGGTGTTTTGGTTGCGAATGGACACTATGGGGTCATTTTGAGCTTCTTGTCAACAGACACCCCCAAGTCTTTCTTCTCAGGGCTGCTCTCAATCCAGTCTCTGCCCAGCCTATAGTGGTGCCTGGGATCGCCCCGGCCCTGGAGCAGGAACTTGCACTTGGCTTTGTTGAACTTCATGAGGTCTGCACTGTCCCACCTCTCCAACCTGTCTAGGTCCCTCTGGATGACATCCCTTCCCTCCAGTGTGTCGACCCCACCACACAGCTTGGTGTCATCGGCAGACTTGCTAAGGGCGCATCAATACCGCTCTCCATGTCATCGTCAAAGATGTTGAACAGAACTGGTCCCAACACTGATCCCTGAGGGACACCACCTGTTACCCATCTCCACCTGGACATTGAGCCATTCACCACAACTGTCTTTGTGTGGCCATCCACCCAGTTAATTATCCACTGAGCGGTCCATCCATGAAATCCATGCCCCTCTCTAAACCGGGAGACGCATGGATTCACAGGAATTGGCTGGCTCATGCCAGAGGAGTCACGGGGGTGCGTGGGCCAGCCCATATGGAGTCACTGCGGTGTCCTGGGTGCTCATGCCTCTCACTGAAGTTGGAAGCATGCGGCAGCCCCTTGGCACATGCCTGGGGCCCCTTTGGTGACCGGAGCTCCCCATGACAATGTGGAGACAGAGGGACAGAGCAAGCCAAAGCCCCATGCAGCCCCAGCCCCAGCATGGTGTAACCCAGAGGCAGCACCCCTTTGCTTCCCCATGGGAACCTTCAGCTGACAGGGTTAAACCAAAGACCGAGGCTCTATTTCAAAGCATGACCCCGCATGGAATGGAGCTGAGTCAGTTTGGCTTGGCTGTCCCAGCTCCTGCCTACCCGCACAGCCTACTCAATGGGGGACACCCAGAGAGAAACCAAACAAGCCTTGAGCTGCGCAGGCACAGGCCAGCACCAGAGGAACGCTGGTGTATTTTTGGCACTGGCTAGTCACAAATGGAACCCAGAGCACTAAGTGTGCAGCGGGGTGTGTCCCTGAACTGTGAGACACCGCCTCCTGCCCGGTTCCAGTATAGATTGGGGAACGACCTGTTAGAGAGCAGTGTAGGGGAGAGGGACCTGAGGGTCCTGGTGGACGACAGGGTGACCATGAGCCGACACTGTGCCCTTGTGGCCAAGAAGGCCAATGGCATCCTGGGGTGTATTAGAAGGGGGGTGGTTAGTAGGTTGAGAGAGGTCCTCCTTCCCCTCTACTCAGCCCTGGTGAGACCTCATCTGGAATATTGTGTCCAGTTCTGGGCCCCTCAGTTTAAGAAGGACAGGGACCTGCTGGAGAGAGTCCAGCGCAGGGCAACTAAGATGATTAAGGGAGTGGAGCATCTCCCTCATGAGGAAAGACTGAGGGAGCTGGGTCTCTATAGTTTGGAGAAGAGGAGATTGAGGGGTGACCTTATTAGTGTATATAAATATATAAAGGGGGAGTGTCACGAGGATGGAGCCAGGCTCTTCTCAGTGGCAAACAATGAAAGGACAAGGGGAAATGGGTACAAATTGGAACACAAGAGGTTCCACTTAAACCTGAGAAGAAACTTCTTCTCAGTGAGGGTGATGGAACAGGCTGCCCAGGGAGGTTGTGGAATCTCCTTCTTTGGAGACATTCAAAACCCATCTGGACACGTTCCTGTGTAAACTTATCTAGGTGTTCCTGCTCCGGCAGGGGGATTGGACTAGATGATCTTTTGAGGTCCCTTCCAATCTCTAACATACTGTGATACTGTGATACTGTGGTGGGAGTTTGCTGTGCCCTGGTGGCTGTGTGCCTGTGTCTGGCGTTCTCCTCCTGGCAGCTGGTTTGGGGCTCTTGCCCAAGTGCCCTGCCCCAGCCAGGCAACACTCCTGCTTCGGAAGGAGGACAGACAGGCTTGCAGGGGAGCTTCTTTTGTCCCCAAGATGAGAAAGGATCCTCCGAGAGCGCAGCGCGCTGCCCGCGTGAGGACAGCCAGCAGCAGCAGGGACAGACGTGCAGCTGGGCGCGTTCAGGTCCTCAGGAGCAGGTACAAGGTTCCTCCTGGGACCGTTAGCTGGAGGGTCAGGACCCCAGAGCCTACAGCAGGGGGTGGGGGGACACGACGGAGGAGCTGGCAAACGCTGTGGGCAGCACAGCAGTCCCAGGGCTTGGGAAAACCACTGTGAGTGGGGAAGAGGCCCAGCTGAAAGCCCCTCTGGCCCCTGGGGCCAAACCCCACTCTCCTGCTGGAGGGCTCTGGCTGTGAAGCTGCAGAGACCCTGGGAGGAAGAGGGGGCTTTGGAGGAGGGCAGCTGCTCCCCTCTGCCCATGGGCCTGTCTTCTGGCCAGGGCCTTGGCTCATGAGGCCAGAAGGCAGTGCCAAACAGTGTCCTGCCTTTTCCGTCCCATAGGTGCCGCCCCTCTCAGGAGGACCAGGGGACCAGCTCCGAAGAGCCAGCACGCTGCGGCTGCAGTGCTGCAGGCACAGAGCGTAAGTTCAGCGCTGCCTTTCACCCCATGCTTGCACCAGGCCTGCCTGGCTCATCTGGGACCAACAGCCCCCAACAGCCAGTACCATCCTGCTCCAGGAGCGGCCTGGGGCCATTTTGCCTATGTGACCATGACGGAGCTGGCCACTGTGTCTGTAATAACCATGGGGCTACTGTAATAACCACAGGGCACCCCCGTGCGGTAGAGATGCAGGGCCCGAAGCCTCATCCACAGTCCTTCCCCAGCCTTGCTGTCAGCGCCCTGCCTGCAAGGGGATCCTACCGGGCCTCCGGCGAGAAACAAGCTGTCCCCTCCAGGGCATAAGCCTGCCCTGTCCCAGTCCCACAGGAAGGAAGTGTGCAGGCCCAGCATCCATGTCCTCGCAGGGGTCGGCCATACCCCAGACGGGGCTCCTCAAAAAGGCTCCTCAGGCTTTTCTCCCATTTCTTTGCCCAGGGATGGTATTCAGCCTTGCTTCCAGAATGGCAAGGGCCGTGATCTTCCTTCAGAGACAGCTCAGAACAGGCATCTCCATCCTGTGAGTACAACAAGTGTCTATTAGTGATGTGGAGCTTGGGGTGCCAGAGGGTCAGGGTGGTCAGAAGGGAAGCTGGTGGTGCTCCCCAGCAGGAGAACCCCTGGCTCCCCTGCAAATTGTTGGTCAGCTGGTAAGAGAAATTCCTCTGGGCAGGGCTCTGCCTTGAGCACTGCTAACCCCAGGACTCTCTGTTTCAGGAACGAGGGGTTCTTCATGATCTTCTGCTTGATGAGCCTCTCTGCTCTCGGTTAGTATTTACCTGCCGCCAGCAGAGGCTCAGAGGAGTGAGGGGTCAGCTTCAGTGTGAGGGAGAGGTACTGAGGGCCTGTTTGGCCCATACAACATCTCACCTTCCTGGATCTGGGAGGTCACAAGATGCTCGCTGCATGCGGATGAAATGGGGCATAGCAGTGGGATGCAAAGCCTGGAACCAGGGCTGTGCAGCGCCCCGAGGCCCAGGGCAAGAGGCCCTGCTTGGAGCTACCTCCTCTCCTGCACCCCTTTGTGGTGTCCTCGGCCAGCCTCTTGCCACCCTGGTGTGGGAGGAGACCGTGTCACTACGGGGATCTTTAGAAACGGCAGTAAAATGACTCTCATGTTGGTGTTACAGCTGGTGCCTGGTGCGGGATCTCGCTGCTCATGTGGCGGCTGCATGGAAAGAATGCGCCACAGGTCAGTGGGACAGGAAAGTCCTGCCAGGGAGCTCTGCAGGCGATGGGTGGGTGGGTGGGTGAACCACCCGGTCCTCCGTTGCCAGGCAGTGACGCAAAGCAGCGGCAGCAGCTTCTGCTGTGCCTTCCCAGAGCTGCCAGCTCGGGGAAGCGCCGTTTGCTGTGGGACTCTAACGAGAGCCTTTCCCTTCCAGGGGCAGCCTGCAGCTGACCTGAGTTCACTGTGGTAAGAGCCCTCTCCTCTCCCCAGCCCTGCAGCGTGTTTGGTGGGGATAGCACGGGCAGATGAGCCTTGTGCTAGACGTGGAGGGGGAAGGAAGCACTTGTAAACCAGGGAAAGAAACGGGCTCAAACATCACTGTCTGTGCTATTCCTGGCCTTGGAGGCTCTGCGCATTGCTGGGCAGTGATCTGACAAGGTCCCATTTCCTGATGACTGCAGGAACGCACCTGATGTGTGGAAAAGACAAGCGGGAGAGATGCAGAAGCTGAGGGATGAGGTGACACATCTGGCTGCAGAAATCTGCTCTATAAAGAAGGTGAACCTGCACTCTGGAAAGAGGGCTGGGCAGGAAAAGGCCACCAGCTGGCCCAGGAAGGGCCTGGTGCAGGGGGCCCCGCTCGTCCCAGCCTACACACCCCTCCCTTGCCAGGGGCTGCGGGTTGAGCTTCTGCGCTGCAGAGCCCCTTCTCCTGGCCTGCTCTGACATGGTTGTTTCCCTGTTCCTTGGTGTCTTCCCCAGGAAGTTCAGCAAATGAGAGGGGCAATATCTGAGCCCGTGGAGGTGCCTGACTGGGCTCTCAAAAGCACAGGTATGGGCAGCCCTTGGGTCCAGGCAGTTCTTGTGCTGGGCTCGTGCTTGGTGTTCCTGAAAGCAGGCAGCACTGCAGACACTGCTCTCCGAGACAGAAGTGGGACTAAACCACGGGGCCCACGAGCATGACTGTAGCAATGTGGCTCCCTCAGGCTCACCCCAGCCCTGCTGCCAGAGCCCTCACTGCTGCCTCGGCCATGTCCCTGACAGCATTTCTGCCCTCTCCCACTCTGCGGAGCATTCCTGGAGAATGAAGGCATATGGCTGCATCACCCTCTGCTGTCCACGCAGCAGGGCCTTGCTTGGGTCTGCTGCCCTTGCCGTGGGGGCTCACTGTCCCCCAGCACCCACAGATCTTCTCTTTGTGCGGCTGGGAGAGAGATGCCAACACCAGGCGCAGGGATCCCCTGCGTTTCCCGGGGCACCTATGAGCATCCAGTGCTGCATGACTTAGCAGTCACCTGCAGCCATCAGGTCCTCTGCACCTGGGGCCAGTTGCAGTCAGCTGCTCTCTTCTGCCCTCAGGGTGTACCATCAACCTGCAGAGATCATCCAGCACCTCTGCATGTCTCAGGAGGGTGTTTTGGTCCCTGTTTAGACAACCCTTTGAGGATACCTTTGTGCAGGTACAGTAGCAGAAACTGTCAGTGTTGCTTCTCTTGCCCCTCTGGATCAAGCTGGGGACAAGCCCTGGGTCATCTCCTGTCAGGCCAGGGATCTTGCTCGGGTGCAGGGCAAGGATCTGGTGCCTGACAGCTGAGATCCCACGTGGGGTTTGGCTTCCTACAAAAAGCGGGTGCTTCCTCCTGCTTCCCAACACACCATGCATCTCCAACAGAAGCACAGCCCCGGGCACAGTGCTGCCTGTGCTTCTGCAAGCCGGGGAGCAAAGCCCTCACGTTCACTTCTCTTGCCCTCTGCTTTTAGCCTGATGCTTCCCCAGGGTACTGCTGGAAAATGCAACAGTCTCAGAGCGAAGTGCTAATCCGACTGCCCACAGAAGTACAACCAACGGCCATCACCTTACAGTACTGCTCAAAGACAGCCACTCCACTGGTGACTGTCAGTAGTGCACCCAAGGATTTCACTGTCTCTGTAAGTCTGCGCTGGGCTCGTGGCTGGGATCTGATCATGGGTAAAGCTGTAACCAGCACTTGCTGTTCCCTGTGCGTCTGCAGAGATGTGTGTGCTCCCAAGCCCTGCCCTTCCTAGAGGGGACATTTCACAGGCTTGCTCAGCACGTTTTGGCCCAGCACCTCCAGGGCCCTGAGGAGGAGACACAGCCCCATGGGTCTCCCTCTGTGCCAGACTGCACAGAGACGCAGAAGTGTGGTGCACATAACGGGCCCAGATCTGGCATGAGCTTTTTCTCATGGTCAGCTTGAGCCTGACCTGCTCTTCTGTGCGTTTATCTCCAAGGGACTGGATGAGGAAGGCCAGGGCGAAACTCTGCTGGGGTCTTTCCTCTACAGCGTGCAGAAAGAGCCAACTCAGACCTTCCCTCTGCAGGTACAGTGGGTACGCGTGGGCAGGAGGCCAGGGCAGAAGCACCAGTTTGCTAGCAAATCGCTTGCACGGGGAGAGTGGACAGTCCCTGGCAGGACAGGGGCCTGAACCTTGTGGTGCCCAGAGCTGCCTGTCAGCACCTTCGGGGCAGGCGGTGGTAAGGAAGATGCTCAGCATTGTGCTCTGGCAGCAGGGCTTTTTCCCCTGGTCCTGCTTCCTGGCACAGGTGACCCTGGCAGAAGCACCCGCTTTTTGAGGGAGCCAAATTCCGTGTGGGATCTCAGCTGTCAGGCAGGAGGTGGGGTTTGGCCCGAGGGGCCAGAGGGGCTTTCAGCTGTATCAGGTATCACAGACCACACTTCTTGAATTTAGCTTTGAGGATGCTGTGGGAGACTGTGTCAAATGCTTTGCTGAAGTCAAGGTAGACCACATCCACGGCTCTGCCATCATCCATCCACCGTGTTATTTCCTCATAAAAGGCTATGAGATTGGTCAAGCATGACTTCCAAAGAGGTGCAGGAGTGATGCCTGTCTGGGTCTGCTGAGGCAGGTGGGTGTCCCCAGTGTGGAAGTCCTGGCCAGAAGGATTCCTCGGGAAGCCTCTCGGCAGATGTCCCTGCCACAGCTCCTCCACTGGCCACAGGTCCACAGATTAGTCTTGTTGCCTGTCCATACTCAGTGAGAGGCATGAGCACCCAGGACACTGCAATGACTCCATATGGGCTGGCTCATGTACCCCAGTGACTCCTCTGGCATGAGCCAGCCAATTCCTGTGAATCCATGCGTCTCCAATTTAGAGGGAGAGCACAGATTTAATGGATGGACTACTCAATCAATAAAGAATTGTCTAGATGGCCACACAAAGACAGTCGTGGTCAATTGCTCAGTGTCCAACTGGAGATGAGTAATGAGTGGTGTTCCTCAGGGGTCAGTGTTGGGACCAGTCCTGTTCAACATACTTGCTGGTGACATGGAGATCGGTATTGATGTGCACTGACAACAAGGCTGGCGAAGGATTGTGGATGAGCCTTTGGCCTCTGCATCTCTACTATAGAAGGGGAATATTTCACTTATTTCCTGTTGTATTCTTTCCTCTGTGTGCTTTCTGCTGATGATAATGCTCTCACATTTTACCTTCTGAGGTTAGAAGGCAGGAGAAAGACTGGGCACAGAAGGAGACTGCTGTACTTTCTTTTTGATGGGTTTATGCTACTGAGATGTTTACCTTTACCATTTAGCAGCTCCACCCTGTGAATAAGAATGTTGGAAACAAATCTCTGAATTCTCACATTTAGGTTCGTCCCGAACAAGCAATACAGAACTTTGAATATTTCTATTTAATAGATTAATAAGTCCTGTTGACAGAATACATTCAGAAACCAGTATAATGCAAATAAAAAGACCTCTTGTGTCAATATTATGTGCTTAGTTAATAGTTTTATCTTAAAAAAATGGACAGTATTTCTTTGTCAGCCATGTTAAGAGATGAGTTTGTAAAGAGACTGCATCTTAGGTAAGAAGAAAAGAAACAGAGAAATTGGTGACTGCTTAAACCAATACCAAGATTTGCTTCAGGTATTAGATTGTGAAAATTGGATCTGAAATTTTGGAAGTTTTCCATGCTTCTCAGGGCAATCCCAGGCACAACTATAGGCTGGGCAGAGACTGGATTGAGAGCAGCCCTGAGGAGAAGAACTTGGGGGTGTTGGTTGACAAGAGCTCTGCATGGTGCAGCCCAGAAAGCCAACCGTATGCTGGGCTTCATTAAAAGAAGTGTGACCAGCATGTCGAGGGAGGTGATCCTGTCCCTCTACTCTGCTCTGACTCCACCTGCAGAGACTCCACCTGCAGTTTTGCATCTAACTCTGGGGCCTCCAGCACAAGAGGTATATGGACCAGCTCAAGTGAGGCCAGAGGAGGCCACGAATATGATCAGGGGGCTGAAGCACCTCTGCTATGCAGACAGGCCAAGAGAGCTGAGTTTGTTCAGCCTGGAGAAGGCTCAGGGGGACCTTAGCACAGCCTTCCAGTGCTAAAGAGGGACTATAGGAAATCTGAAGAGGGGATTCTCACAAATGCCTCTAGTGACAGAACAAGAGAGAATGGCTTTAACTGACAAGAAGCAGATTTATTTTAGGCGTTAGGAAGAAATGCTGTACTGTGGGGGTGGTGAGACACTGGCACATGTTGCTCAGAGAAGTTGTGGATGCTCCATCCCTGTCAGTGTTCAAGGCCAGGTTGGACAGGGCTTTGAGTAATCTGGTCTAGTGTGAGGTGTCCCTGCCCATGGCAGGGGGTTTGGAATTAGATGATCTTTAAAGTCGCTTTCAAGCTAAACCATTCTATGATTCTCTGTGTCTGCTACTGATGTCAGCAGAATCTCTTGTTTACACCATTGCTTTACATTCTCAAAATGAGATTATTACTACTTTATAATAAAACTGGCAACACTGAGGAGATGCTTGTGTTTTGTGGTATCGTATGTACAACAAGAAGATGAAGCAGTTGGAAAAGTGAGGCCAAGACATTTTAACTATAATAGAACATATTCTGATACACTGTTGCCGCAGAAAATATATGGACTCAGTCAGAGATCAGCATGATCAGACCAAAGCCATGTATTGCAAAGCTCCTTATATACTATTGCTTACAGTGATTCAGCATATTACGATTGGATATATGTCTTGAAGACCCCTAGCGACTAACATATAATTTGTTAAGCACAGGTGTGAGAACTTGACCTCGAAAGCTTGCCAGCAGTCCACAGTTCTCATAACTCGGTGAATTCCAGCTTCTTATCTTGCTTGCTTAAGCTTCCTCGGGCCTCTCATGGCCTTGCTGTATCTTTTGGGATTATTCAGAGTTCACGTACCAAATACCCAATTCTCCTGTGAGAACACTGTCTCCACATCTCCCCCTTTTAGTTTTATATATCTTTTGCATGACCCTACTTGAGCAGGGGATTTGGGCTAGATCATATTTCCAACTACAGGCTGCTAGGCCTGCCCTTTTTTCTCCTGTATGGCTCTCTGATAACAGGGGATGCCATCCCTCAGATCAAGGTCTGGCATGGCATGTGTCCCCACTGCTCCACACCTGCTGGGTTGCAGCCAACAGTGGAGCTAAAGGTTCTTCTTGATGGCAAACACAGAGGCCAATCCAGTCTTTCCAAAGTCACTCACCCTGCTTTGCACGGCTACAAACGCCGGTCTGCTGGGCAGCTGCTACAAATGCCTGCCTGCTTGGCAGCAGCTACAGCTGCCTGCCTGCTTCCGCAGCAACCATAAATACCTGCCGGCAACCGCACTTTTTCATTAATGCTTTCTTGCCCGAAATGTTAAACTGCTGCCCATTAAAAATTTCTACATGAACCCAACAACAAAAAACACTCAGAACACTGTCTGCCATCATCACACGTTATAAATAGTGGCTCAAATAAATTGACTAGAGCCAGGCCAATGAATCAAATCGGTTTATTGAGCAAGCGACAGCAAGCAAAAAAGCGCTGGGGGGCTGGGGAGTCTCTGCTCCGCCAGCGGCATGCACCCCATTTCCCCAAAGTCACTAATTTTATACTCTTCTTTATCCAGCGTACGTGCTACTCTTGGCGTACTCTGCGTCTGTGTGGCCCGTTGATAAGGGGTCTCATTCTGCCTCCCAGTGGGTGTGGGGAGAAAGTTCCTTATCTCCTTCGGGGTCTCATTCGGCCTCCTGGTGGGTCCGGTGGGTGTGGGGAGGAAGGCTCTTTATCTTCTTTTCCATACCTAGTTTACTTTAACAGATGCTTGCAGTCTATAAGCCAAATTTCAACGTGCAGAAATTTTCAGTAACCTTTAAGCAAGTCAAGTAACTCTTAAAAAATTAACTTTTAAGGAAACAAGATTTGATTAACAAACAGGAATTCACTCATCAGAACACACACACACACGTATGGGGTCCCACAAAAACACTCCACACAACTACAATACTTGAAGCGCAAAATCCAGAAAATCATTACTCCCACTACACCATCCCGTGTACAGAACGTGGCACAAGGACCCTGTGGAGACTAACAGGAAACCAGCTCCGAGAAGCATCATGGCAGTGCCAGGTGACAGGCTGAACCTTAGTGGGTGTCCCTGCAGAGGCTCTGCCTCCCCCACATTGTATGAGGCTTGGGCTTTTATACTGACCAAAATGCACACTCATTCCGACACAGGTGGCCAGCCTGTGTTGGAAGAAGTGGCCAGCAATATCTATAAAGGTCTCCCAAAGTTGACAGAAACCTGGACATACATTTACCAGCTTCTAGTACATGAGTATCACAGAGAGACTCTATCAAATGAGTTGTATATGGGGTCCCAAGTCCACGGTCCATCACAGTCTGCCCAATACCCCTGATAAGAACATACGAGAGACCTTACCACCGCAGGTCTTGATCCAGCACATACACCACCAGGAAAGCACACAGTACGTCTGCATCTGCCACTGGTCTCACTTTTCCCATTATAGCTGTGTATTTAACATGAGGATCTGGGGGATATAAATCAGGCTCCTTTTCCAGATGAATAGGCTCCAGGACAAAAGGACCATCCAGGTCAAAAGGACCATCCAGATCATCATCAGAATTATCAGGCATCAGAACCTCAGGAGCAGCAACAGCAGTCTGATGGACGTGCACAGGCTCCTTCTCGGGGTCAATAGGGCCTGAGTCAAAAGGATCGTCTTCATCTCTGTCCTCAGTCTTTGCATCTGCGGTGGCAACTGGCAGAGGTTTGGGGGGGGGGCAGGTGGGGGTGGGGGGTAGGGGAACAATGACTGGGCTCCGCGATCTCATTTTTTGACTTTAACATCTCTAAAATAGATCTGCAAATGACTAACAAATTTTTCAGTGTCATTGCCTTTTGTAACTGCATCTCACAATTCGACTCCTGCACCATTCCACAAAGAGACCTCAAATACGGTAGACTCATCAATCTCTGGATAACACGTCTTCGACCATTTCAACATTAAAGTCTGTCTCTAAAGGTCACTCCCTTCACCTTAAGGACTGAAAACATCCATAAAACAGAGGTTTCTTCCTTAGCAATTTTTTCCCAAGTCCCAAGCTCAAAGACTTCATTAACCCC